CACCACCATCTTATCACCACCCATCACTGCCACCACCACCATCACCACCACCACCATCACCACCACCTCCGCCGCCGCCATCATCACCATCACCACCACCATCATCACCATCTTATCACCACCTATCACTGCCACCACCACCATCACCACCACCACCGCCGCCGCCACCATCACCATCACCACCACCATCATCACCACCACCACCATCACCATCACCACCACCACCACCGCCGCCGCCATCACCACCACCACCATCACCATCACCACCACCATCATCACCACCACCACCATCACCATCACCACCACCATCATCACCACCACCACCATCACCATCACCACCACCATCATCACCACCACCACCATCACCATCACCACCACCATCATCACCACCACCACCATCACCATCACCACCACCACCATCTCATCACCACCCATCACTACCACCACCACCACCACCGTCACCGCCATCTCATCACCACCCATCATTACTACCACCACCACCACCATCACTGCCATCTCATCACCACCCACCACTACCACCACTACCACATACCACCACCATTGCCATGGCTACCACTGTTGCCTGTACACAGACAGCGCTCACTGAGATCACTCAGGAATGGCTGTCAGGGATGCATACAGACACCATACAGGCACACTAGGAAGACTGGGTCCCAGGAAGATCGTGGGCACGGCAGGCCCTGGCTCAGCGCCGCAGGAGGCAGATTCTATTGAACTCACCGCTCCTTGATAGAGCTGTCCCACTCCACGGCCAGCTTGACATGTGGGGGGCCTCCCAGCCTCCTGAGGTGCAAAGCCCTGAGTAGACAACAAGGGAGCCCATCAGAAACCATGGCGCCTCCATCCCACAGCTCTGCAGGGCTACTCAGTCTGCCTCCAACCACAGGACTGATGTTTCAAACTGGCTGGAAACCAAAGTTGGCAGTCTGGGGGATCACTAAGTCTGCGGAAGGTTTCATCTTAAAGCTACCTCTTAACACGCCCCTCTCACTTCCTTGTAAGTTGGTGAGATTTAAGGATTTGGAGTTACTATAAGGACACAGATCAACTGTCCCATTGCAGCCCTGGCTACCTTCTCAATGTCGACAGGTCAGTTCCTTTAACATCCTATACATAGACCTGATATTGGGTCAGCCCTATAGTATAGCTGTTAAGCACTGTGCTCAGAAAACAGGATCCCCATTGGGATCAGCAGTTAGCATAATGGATATGTTGCTGAACTCCCAAGTAGTCGACCGTGGTTCAAGTCCCGGACCTGGTGACTTAAACTCATGCCGGGTGCATGTGCGTGTGTGCCCAAGATCCTGAGAGGAGAATGGAGGAGAAGGGATTGTGGCATGGCCATCCCCCTGGGGGGTGATTTTTTACTTTCTGTCTCTCTATCTCTCTCTGTCTTTCTGGCAAGTGCACGTGCCCTATAGTAAAAACCTCCCAAACAGAAAAAAAGAAAGAAAGAAAGAAAGCAAGCAAGCAAGCAAGCAAGCTGGATCCCACATAGCTGACTGCAGTTCAAATCCCAGCCCCAGAAGCTTGGAAAACACACTGGGCACATGTGTATGCCTGCACGCCCCAAATCCTGATGGGATAGAGAGATGGAAGAAAAAGGACTGTGGCATGATCATACCCCATAGGGGGATGCTCCCTCTCCCTCTCCTTCTCCCCTTCTCTCTCTAGTATGAGTGCACCCACCCTCCGGCAAACAAAACAAAACCAATACCAATGAAGCCCAAAGAGAGCTGCTAACTATCCCTACCCCAGCACCGCATGCAATGCAGAGCGAGCACCCTCAAGTCCATCTCCATAATCTAAAAGTCTTCCCTGCCAAGCCTTCCAAAGACAGTAGATCCCAGCATGAGCCAGCCCATAGCTCCTTCCGACTGCCTGGGCACAGTCCCGTTTCAGAAAAGGTTGGTCAACCCTAATGCAGATTAGAGAAGAGAAGAAAAAAGCAGAGGGCTCCAGCAAGTGGCATGGTGGTTAAGGCACTGGACTACCACACGGTTGACTGTAGTTCAAGTCCAGGACCTGGTGGCTTAAAAATCACACAGGGCACATGTGTGTGCATGCCCAAGATCTCAGAGGAGAATGGAGGAGAAGGGATTGTGGTGTGGTCACCTCCCTGGGGGTGATTTCACACTTTTCCTCTCACTGTCTCTCTCTGGCACGTTCACATGCCCTGTGGCAAAAATCTTAAAAAAAAAAAAAAAAAAAGCAGAGGATGTGAGGTTTTATCCTGAAGTCAGTAAGAACAGATAGAAGTGATGCCAAAGGCAATTCTCAAGAATTAGTGTTGCGTCTCGGTTGCAAGGAAAAAAGAGATTCCAAAACTGTCACCAAGATGCTTCAAAAAAATATTTGCGGGACCCATGGCCTAGTGGTTAAGGGAGCCAGATCCCACCAGGCTGAGGGTGCAGTTCAAATCTCATGTGTGACCAAACCCTGAAAGGAAGGAGAGACGGAGAAGGGATTGCGGCGCCATCATTCCTCACGGGTGGAGGGCGCTTTCTCACTCCCCCGCCGCCATCTCTCTCTGGTGAGCACACCCATGAGTGCACACGCCCTTTGGTAAAAATTAAAAAAGGAAAAGAAGAACAGATAAGACTTGACAGGTCGAACGTCCAGAGAAAGGGAGGAGGAATCAGGTGATTTCGTTTCCTCGCTCGGGTTCCTAAGAAGATGGCGGTGTCACCGAGACACGGAAAACAGGAAGAGTCGAGGCTTACTCAAGGAGAGTCCAGACCGGCTAACGTGTGGTGCTCAGTGTGTACGGCACAGGTAAGCAGGACGGACAGGTCTGCCCCTCAGAGAACAATCTGGGGCTAGGGGAAGAGGGACGTGGAGAGTTCCCGACTCCTGGGTACCAGCGTTTTAGTCGGGGGAGATGGAAGCGTTCTGGAAATGGACGGTGGTGATGGGCGGATGACAGCGTGAGTGCTCCTGATGCCATACGCGCTGAAAAGGGTTAAAATGGTACATTTTATTATAACCATTTTTAAAAAGCAGAGGGAGGCCAGCCAATGGCGTGGTGCTTAAGGTGCCGGATTCCCACACAGCCAAGTGTGGTTCAAGTCTCAGATCTGGTGATTTGAAAATCGGGCTGGGCACAGGTGTGTACAGGCACCCCAAGTCCCAGGAGGAGACTGGAGAAAGGACTGGCCATCCCACCAGGGGGCGATTTCTCACTTTCCCTCTCATTGTCTTTGTCTCTCTCTCTGGCAATGCACACACCCTATGATAAACATCTTAAAAAAAAAAAAAAAAAAAAAGCAGAGGAGGCAGAGATTTATCCTGAAATCAGTAAGAACAGATACAAGTAATGACAACATCTATACCCAATTTAAAAAAAAATTATTTGCCAGAGGCCACGTGCACTTGCCAGAAAGACAGAGAAAAGGAGCAGGGAAAGCACCCTCCAAGGGGGTGTGGTCTTGCCACATCCCTTCTCCTCATGCCTCCATCCTGTCGGGAGTCTGGGTACACACACAGGCCTAGCATGCTTCTCAGACCTCCAGGACTGGGATTTGAAGCAGTCAGCCACGTGGGATCTGGCTTCCTTAATCCTAGGCTACGGGACTGGCCCCATAACGTCTTTAAAAAGAGATTTCTGGAGGACAAGGAGGTGTTGGGATAGACAGGCCAAGAGGCTGAACAGAGGGCCCTGGGAAGGAGGCAAGGGGCTGGTGACCTCAGGGAGGGCTATGTCAGCACGGGTGGGGTGGTGTGGATGCAAGCAGGGTCTAGACTACAGGGAGATGGCTGAGGTGCAGAAGGTGTGGGTAGGGAGAGTGTGACTTTGGATGGTCGACTTGCTTTGTAACTTTTCCAGCACTTTCCAGACGACCTATGGTGAAAGACCTATTTGTTTCCAAGCCATTGTATACGCTTGTAAAAAGTATAATACAAAAGTAACTTGGGGTGGCAGAAAAAGACATAGAAAACACAAGGTCCATTAGTTTAACAATGACTAATTCAGGGCCAGCAGCTGTGAAGTGGTCAAGGTGCTGGACTCCCACATGGCTGACCATGGTTCTAGTCCTGGACCTCACCCTGACAGGTTAAAAATCGTGCCAGGCACATGTGCACATGTGCCCGAAACCCAAGGGATTGTGGTGGGGCCATGCCCCTGGGGGTGATTTCTCACTTTCCCTCTGATTGTCTCTCTCTGGTAAGCACATGTAACCTATGGCAAAAACCTTTTTTAAAGAAGAGAAAGAAAGAAAGAGAAAGAGAGAGAAAGAAAGAAAGAACAAATGAACGAACAAGCAGACTACATTCAACGGACTTTAAATTGTTCTATCATATTGCTGAGACAGTCCTGCTATATTGCCCAGGCTGGCCTTGAACTCACGATCCTCCTGCCTCAGCCTCAAGAAGCTAGGACTACAGGTGCACACCATCACTCCCAGCTTTGCTTTAATGTGTCTCAATGCTTCCTCTCTGGTTCTTGTCACAGACTGGTGACAGTCAGCTTGTAGGCCCACACCAGTCTGCAGAACACGTGTTGAGTAACACAGTTTTCGAACTCAAGACTGAGTGCTGCGAGGGCTCCCCTCTCTCAGGGCTCCCCTTCCCTGTCAGAGCCCAGCAGGCCCCGGCTGCCATTTCTCCTGCCTCACTAACTCTGCAAAGCATCCCCCCGCAGTCGAGGAAGAGGCAGATGCGGTGTGAGTTACAGAACCTTCTGGCTTGGCCCCTATCCTGGCTCCTGGCCTCTGAAAATGTCGAGGGCCCTGTCTAGGTTATGGATTCAGTCAGCTTTGGTTGGCCGAGTCAGGAAATACAAGAACCTTGCAGAGAATTTAGGCTATAGGAAAAGGGGAAAGTGCCGAGCTTAATTTATGGAGCAAAACTTCTCTTCGATATATTGTGCTGGGCCTGTGGCTTGCTTTGCAAGACCACGTGTGGCAGGAGCCTGTCAGCGTGCAGAGAATCAGGAAATCAGAGCCACCAGAGGCACGGCCTCACTGGCTCTACTCCTCAGCCACAGCCCACAGTATTTTACAGTCTGGGACCAGCGACTCTGAGGTAGAATCTCACCCACCTACAGGGGACGTTCCAGCTGAATTCAGAAAAATGACCTACTTGAAAGAGTTAGGGTGTTTTGTTTTTTTTTTTTTTTTTCTTTTTTCTTAGTTTAACCGGCTAGGCTCAAATTTGGACTCAGCCATGACGTAGTTGTGAAAGTATGAGGAAGTCAATCTCTGAGAACCGTGGTGCCCCTCACCTTTGAAGTGCTCACAGTCATACCTCTCTAGATAAGGGTTAGCGGCATGTCTGACTACCTGTGATGGGTGTTGGCGCTGGAGAAGTCAGGGGCCAACAACAGCTAACACTGAGAGCAATGTCACTACCACGGAGCCTCAAAGGAGTCTAGACAACTAAGAAAGCATCTGCTTTCTTAGCAAATCCCAAACGTCCCCTTACCTGTCAACTGCCCAGTGACAGAGGGGCCGACTGTCCTGTGGGGATAAGTAGCTGCAGGCCAGGGAGAGCCCCACAACTCGGATGGAGAACAGAGACCCCAAGTTCTGTCAAGACAAAAACAGAGGAGATGGCTCATCACATAGTCCCTTCGTTGACTTAAGTTAAACAATTCTTTTCTAATTTGGCCAGAGAGCACACAGAGACAGAGAGGGAGACGTAGAGAGCGCCCTCCGTTCCTCCATCCTGTCGGAATTTGGAGCACATGTGCACATGTGCCAGGGTGTTTCTTCAACACCCGACGCCAAGATTCGAACTCCATGGTCAGCTACGAAGGACCCAGCTCCCTTAACCACCAGGCCACAGGGCCAGCCCTTTAATTAGACTCTTAAGTGGCGTAAAAACTACAGGTGGGAATGTAAAATGGTGCTGCTGATATAACAAAATGGGAGTTTCTTAAAAAGCTGAATGCTGGACTACCATAGAGCCCATTAATTCCCCCCAGGTATATATCCAAAAGAAGAGAAAACAGCTTCAAACAGATATTCTTTTCCTTTTTATTTTTTTCTTTCTTTTTTTTTTTAGAGAGGTTTTTGTCTAGGGAAACATGCGCTCGCCAGAGAGACAGAGAGACAGAAAGTGAGAAATCACCCCCCAGAGGGGATGGCCACGCCGCTATCCCTTCTCCTCCATTCTCCTCTCAGGATCTTCTTGGGCACACACGCACACGCGCCCGGCATGAGTTTAAGCCACCGGGTCCGGGACTCGAACCGCAGTCGACTATATGGGAGTCCAGCGACATAGTTATTATGCTAACTGCTGGTCCCTCAAACAGATATTCAGATACCAATGTTCACAGCAACATTACTCACTGTAGTCAAAAGGCAGAAACAACCCAAATGCATATAAATGGATGGGGACCAGCAGATGGCATAACAGCTATATCACTGGACTCTCGCGTGGTTGACAGCGGTTCAAGTCTCAGACCTGGGAGCTCAAAACACACCGGGTATGTGTAATGTACATACCCAGGATCCCAAGAAGAGAATGGAGAAGAAGGGAATGCAGCATGGCCATACTCCTAGGGGGCAATTTCTCACTTTGTCTCCCTGTCTCTGCAGCAAGCACACATATCCTAAACAAACAAACAAAAAAACTCTCTTGGGACCAGCAGATGGCATAATGGTTACGTCACTGGGCTCCCATGTAGTCAACTGTAGTTTGAGCCCCAGACCCAGCAGCTTAAAACTCACGCTGGCATATGTGTGTGCATGTGTATGTGTGCGCACACGTGCGTGCCTAAGATCCCGAGAGGAGAATGGAGAAGGGATTGCAGCATGACCATCCCCCTGGGGAGTTATTTCTCACTTTATGTCTCTCTAGGGAGCACACATGCCCTATAGCAAAAAATCTCTCTTAAAAAAAAAAAAAAAACTCTCCAAAAAAAAAAAAAACCCAAAAGAATGGATAAACAAAATGTGGCCTATGTATACAATGGAATATTATTCAGCATAAAAAAAAGGAAATTCTGACACATGACCCCAGCACGGATGACTCTTGAGAACATGATGCTTGATTAAATCAACCAGACACGTAAACGCACATACTGCACGACTCTAGTTACGCAAGTACCTAGAATAGGCAAATGCACAGAGACAGGAAGTTTCCAGGGCCCGGGAGGGAAAGGAATTGCTATTTTAAGGCACTGGACTCCCACATGGCTGATCACAGTTTGAGTCCCAGACCTGGTGGCTGGAAATTCACACCAGGTACATGTGTAAGCATGCCCCAAATCCTAGGTTTTGCCCTATGGCAAAACCTTATACGTAAATAAAATAAAAGGACATATAGTTCTTAAAGTTGTGACTGGTGACCTTTACTACATCTAGGGGGAAAAAAAAATGTTCTTCCAAACTCTGACAGAGGTAAACGGCAGACAGCGTTACATGAAAATCACTGAGGAGAAACATGAGGGGAGGAGGGAAAAGCACCAGAATTCAGGAATAGCGCATGGGAAGGCAGGATGACCCACAACAGATTCAGAGCTGAGAGTCAGGCCAGTCCATGGCATGGTGGATAAAGCAGCTAGATTCTATGTGGCTGACTACATAGTTCAAGTCCCAGACCTGGTGGCTGGGGAAATATGCCAGGGGTATGTGTGTGCATGCCTAATATACTAAGCGGAGAGAAATACTGAGGAGAAAGGATTGAGGCACAAGTGTACCCCATGGGAGGTGTGTTCTCACTCCCCTTTTCTCACCCTCTCTCTGTCTCTCTTCCAAGAGCTCAAGTTCTGGCAAACTAAAAAAAAAGAAGAGAGCCAAGAATCTGGGGCCAGCAGGTAGTGTGATGGATAAGGTGCTGGAGTCTCACATGGCAGACCGTGGTTCAAGTCCCAGACCTGATGGCTTGTTTTCTTGCTTTCCTTTTCTCTCTCTCTTTCTCTCTGGTGAGTGCACATGCCCTGTAGCAAGTTAAATAATTATTCATTCATTTAATTAAATCTAAAAAGAAAGCTGAGGGACCAGCAGTTGGTGTAATGGCTATGTCACTGGACTCCCATGTAGTCCACCGCAGTTCGAGTCCCGGACCTGGTGTCTTAAACTCATGCTGGGCACATGTGTGTGCATGCCCAAGATTCCAAGAGGAGAATGGAGGAGAAGGGATTGTGGCATGGCCATCCCTCCTAGGGGGTGATTTCTTACTTTCTGTCTCTCTGGTGAGCACACGCGCTCTATAGCAAAAACCTCTCCAAAACAACAACAACAAAAAAGAAAGCTGAGAGTCAGCTCCATTGGCTGGGGCAGCTGAAGCACGCAGGAAGCAATAAGACGCGCATTCAGTAGGTAAATGAGAACCCAGTTATAGAGGAGGTGGAGTGTGACGTTCAGGGAGTTTGTCTAACTCTACGACCACGTTCTGCTGATAGTAGATCTATGGCTTCAACACATCAATAGCTGGCAGCGAGCTGCCTTTGGGATCTTTGATTCAGCATTGGCCATGAAACTGTACTTCCTAAAAAGCATGTTAACTCCAGTCTCGGGG